CTCTCTATCCCAAGCACACCTCGGAAATAGGTTGGGTCAGTTTACACAATTTTGCAGAGCCACGTTCGCGGCTGAGCTCTGCTGATTCAGTGGCTGTGCGTGTGAGGGAAGATCAAATAATTCTCCCCCTCGTCTGAAATGCTCCCCAGTGCTCCCAGTTCAAGCTGGGCAGGGGTATTGGTTACAATATTTCATTTACAAAGTTACAGTTAGGTCCTCCATGGTGGCGCAGCGGGTTAAAGTACAGCACTAAGAAGCTAAAGCCGTTTTAGCAAGAGTTGGATCCCGCCTCCCCGCCCAGGAGGTGACCACAAAGCACAGCAGACCTCTCCTGACCCTCCCGCTGCTCCCCTCAGCTGTGTACTTCGTTGACCTGCCTGTTCTGCTCCCCACTCTTTCTCTGGTGAAGCCTCTCACCACCCCTGCACTTCTGGGCTGTACCCCAGTTCTGTATGCATAAATACATCGATCTTAAAAAAAAAAAGTTACAGTTAATCCCCAACAATTGGAACTATTCAAAGGGCAAATGCACCCACCCTTAAAGTTAGAGCGCAGATTCTCTCCTACTTTCCCACTTGCTGTATTTTCCTTAAAGGACACATGAGGTGGAAGGGGGACAGGGTGAAAGGGGGGCACAGTGCTTGACTGGAGGTCAGTGACAGGAAAATAATTTCATTCCTAAAGTCGATCACCTGAATTAAAGGTTGGCTAGCTCCTACTGAACCTGTGTCTGATTCAAGCACTTTTCTTTTCTTACTTATGAATTGATTTTATTTGAGGCAACATTTGTTTACAATGCTGTATATGATTCAAGATACAGGTTCACACCCTTCAAGTGCATCCCAACCCCATCCCACCTTCCATCAAGGCTTCCACAGTTCCTCCACCACAGTCCCTCTACCCCTAGGCTCTAGTAGCCTTAATTCCACTAACAGATTTCTAGGGTTTATTATTGGCTTGGTTTTATCTGACCGTTTATTTTGTTCCTTTGTAATCTGATTGTCTTTCTTCTTCTGATTTAACTTTGCTTAGGACATAATCCCCTCCAGTTCCATCCATGCTTGTGCAAATGGTAAGCTTTATCTTTTCTGATAGCTGAGTCTTATCTCCTTGTGTATATACCCCATCTTCCTGATCTTTTTTATCTTTGGGCATTTAGGTTTCCCACAGCTTGGCTGTTGTAAACAGTGCTGTGGTGAACATAGGAGTGCATGTATCTTTTCAAGTTAGTTTTTGTATTTTATGGTGGCCATGTAGGAGTGTAGATTCATTTTTAGTATCTTGAGAAATCTTCATAGTTTTCCAGACGTATGGTGCCAGTCTCTGTTCCCACCAGCAGCGTATAGTGGTTTCTTCTCCATATCCTCACCAACATTTGTTTCTGGTCTTTTGATAGGGGCTATTCTCACAGGTATAAGGTGGCATGTCCTCATATCAGGGACTTGCATTTCCCTGATGACGAGTGATGAGCATTATTTCATTTGCCTGTTGGTCATCTCTATGACTTCTTTAGACAAGCACGTATTTAGTTCTGTCCATTATTTGATTGTGTTACTTTGTTTTTGCTAGGTTGTATAATTTCTTTGTAGATCTTGGATATCAGCCCCTTAACAAGTGTATGGTGTGCAGATGTTTTCTCCTATTCACTGGAATGTCTTTTTGTTTTAATGCGTTTCTCTCACTAAAAATTCCAATTTCTGACATTAGCATTCCAGATCTTTATTTTTGCCTATGTGTATACTTTTTTGTTTATGAAACTAGGACCACAGGTTATATGCACTATTTTGTAATCTGTTTTGTTCACTTAAAAACTGATCATGAATATAGCCTGTAGCAATAAAGGACATGACACTCAATTTTCAGTGGTTGTACAACATTCTAACCTATGGATATAATTTATTTAACCAATCTCTTATGAATACCTCCCATAAGGTATAGTAAGTGGAATTATTGTTAATTTATGAACATTTTAAAGTTTTTGGTACATACTAAATATGTACTTGTCGTGTCCAAGCTCCTTTTCTTTCTCTTTTTTTGCCCTGTTCAAGTTTCTATCAGTTTATCATCTTTAAAAGTATTTGTGGGTATGTGTTTCTCTACATCTGCTATAGACTAGCTGGAAATTCATTTTTTTTTCCTATTCAGATTGTATATACTCCTTTACAGTAAAACCTGCTCCTTAAATTGGATATACGTGGGCCCTCCCTGGCAGCACAGTGGGTTAAAGTCCAGCACTGCGAGTGAGCCACAATCACTTCCATTCCCAGCCCTAGAGGTGATTCACATTTGGGGGGTGGGGGGTGGGGAGTTGGGGCAGACCTCTCCTGACCCACTTGCTGCTCTTTGTCAATCTGACTGTTCTGCTCCCCACTCTGTCTCTGGTGATTCCTTTCACCACCCTTGCATCTCTGGCCTATACCCCAGTTCTGTATGCATAAATAAATAAATATTTAAAAAAATTGGATATATGATTACAATGGACATCTTTTCTATAGTAAGTCAAATGGCTACCTGTATAAGACGAAGGGAAGAAACTAGGAAAACTATTGTGCTATAGATGGCTTTGAAAATGTTTTAAAGGTCTTTTACAAGGAGAATGACTAAAGATAACATAACCATAAAATCTTATCGAAGGTATGTTAAACAGCATTAGCTGGGCTTATAAACTCACTAAATTAGCATAGAGGTAGAGAAGACACTTGAGGTATTTCTGCCTTGGGGGAGGAAAAAGAAAAATAAGTTGATTTCTGGTATAAGAGCTCACATATTTCAGTTTAAAAAGGCACAGTAGGTCATAATGAGTTACCACTTCACCATTACTAGGATTCCCAAAATAAAAAATGATACTAACAAAGATTGACAAGGATGTGGAGAATTTGAAGCCTCAGATATTGCTGGTGGAACTGTAAGGTGGTACAGCCACTTTGGAAAGTAGTTTGACAGTTCCTTGATAAGTTGCAGAATTATAATATTACACAGCATTTCCACACACATCAAAATGTTAAGTCCACACAAAAGCTTGTACATGTGTGGACATATCAGCATTAGTTATGATTTCCAAAACAAAAAAAAACCCAGGAACCCAGGGGATAAGATGTATATTCATACAATAAAACCACAAAAGGAAGTGCCTATATGTTACAACAGGGGTGAACCTTGAAAATATGCTATGTGAAAGACGGCAGACACAAAACACTTTGCATTGTGGTTCCATTTACATGAGATGACAGGGTAGGCAAGTCTGTAGGCAAAAAGTAGACTAGTGACTGCCAGGAATTAGGGGAGAAGGAAAATTGGAAGTCACTACTAGTCAGTATAGGCTACTTTTTAGGATGATGTTGGAATTAGTGTTGTTAGTTACATAACTCTAAATATACTAACAACTATACTTTAAAAGAGTGAATTTTGTGGTATGTGAGTTCTAGATGAGGTACCATCTTTTGATAAAGGCATAGAATGGCTTTGCAGCACTTGGGGATGGGCGTATCCTTGATTAAAATAGAGGGTCTGGATTCTGAAAAGAATTTGTAGGCTGTTGGGAGCAGATCAGATGTCTCACCCCATAACTCAGGATGAATTGTGATGTAAGTTTATTTCCTTTTAAGGAGCTGTAGAACCTAAACATTCTAATAATTTTATGGTTGCCTTTAGTACAGATTTTCTTGGAGGTAGAATGACTGAATTAACATCTGTTACAGACTGGTGAAAACAATGCCATCCGCTTCCCAGTTCCTGATATCCCTTGAGAAGAATCTCCTTTATACAGAAACACTTCCTCCAAGTTTAGTGGTAACTGGGAAGTATGTTACTTCAGGTGTATTTGGGAGTAAGGGACAATGATAAGCACGTCAGAGATGGTGTATGTAGTTAGTGTTTTCTGGTCACAAAGCAGCGTTTATCATAACTCTTCTCAAAGCATGCCCCTCACGAGTCAGTGAACAAAAGTCTCCTGTGTCAGGTCAATCTTCCCTCACTACACTCAATTCACTGAAAGGATGTGACTCACAATTCTGCTTTAGAGTAGATGCTCAATACCACTTTCACTAGAAAGTACTACTTTCATATCCAGTCTTTGTTCTATTCTTTTTAATAAAAGGGATTTAAAAGTTTAAGACAATCAGATACAATGCCATGTTTTCTATCAAAATTTTGCCTTAATTACAAGGGTAGCATAATTTTGCTTGAGGCTTAAAACTTTTTTTTTTTTTAAATGAAAAGTGACTTTAATACAGTGAATATACAATACGGAGCACAAAGAATGTAACTTCTAAATCAAACACCTGAAGTTAACCATCCCCTCGTGGGCAAAAGTCAACCCAAAAGGGATTGGCCCAAAGCGAGGCCTGAAAGCCTGCCACAAGACTAAAGCACCTTCTGGCCGGGACCCATGGAAAAGGGTCAGAAATGGCCAGACAAATCTGAGAGGAAATGAGCAAAATCAAAATCAATATAAACACTGCCATAGTCACCTCCCTACAGGTATCTCACCCACATCTGCCTTAACCAGTCCAGGGTCAGGAAACAAGAGGCTTAAAACTTTTAATGCTTCCTGCTCCCCAATTTTTTTATCATAATTTCCAACCAATTCTTCACCTAAGAATACTAGGGCAATACCTTTTAGTAGTTTGCTCTGCAAGTCAGAATCTCTGAGGTGGCCATGCAGGTAGGGCTCAACCATGCACATATGTATTGCCCTCTGTCAGCTGCTACTGCCTTAGGCTGCAAAAGTACATTCGCTGCTCAGTGCCACATAACTCTGTCTTCACTGGTGTGTCTCCCAGGAAAAGAACCAAGGTCCCTTGATTTGAATGCTATGTACAAAGTGTGAATGTTTTTCTTTTTAAAACCCCATACACATACAAAAATAATCACAGGGCAGATCGTGTGTTAATTAACTTTTGCGTGCTGCTGGAATTGACACAACAAAGTTCCCAGTCTGTTTTATAGTTCCTCACCCTGGAAGGAAGGTAAGAACACAAGTGAGTGGTGAAGTCATTAGCTGGCAGACAAGTGGGCTGGGATTCTACATTCATTTTTGAAAACTGAGTGGAAAGAACCGCTTTCCCCAGTAAGAGGGCAAAGAGTGTATGGCCCCAGGGAGGAGCTGGACAAAGTAACAGCTTGCAGTTTTTTGTTTTAAGCAATCAGCTCCTGTCAAGTCCAGAGGGCAGCTTTTTCCAGGTTCACTTGCTAGAGAAAGGAACATTTTCCATTTGATGCTGGGCTCATATCTGTGAGCAAATGTATGATGATTTTGCAAACTTTTAGGCGGGCAAAATATAACCTGAATTGCTGGAAGAAGGGCTCTTTTGATTCTTCCTGTTTAAGAAGCAGCGAACCTAATGTATATAGCTGGTGGTCTGTGAAGTCCCAAGCAGAGCTATGATGTCTTCTTATTGCTTTTCTAAAAGGCCGTCTTTCCTACACAAAGATTAATTCAGTTAGATTCTTTACTATCCTAAATGCTGGCCTCTGGTTTCAAGCAGGTGAGGGTCAATTTAGCCAATATAAGCAGGCTGCTTCAGAACTTCCCATAGGGAAAATTATAATCAGATTCTTATCCTCTTTTCATTTAAATTGTAAGTTGAGAAATCCACATAGTAAAAGACACAGGGTGAGGATGAGTGAGATTGAGCAGATTTGAGAGTCTACTCCTCTGCTGAATGCCACTTTGAAGGGAAAGAATAAGTCGAATGGCAACTTCCAGTCCATTCTGGGTTGGCCCCTTGGAGGCTCTGGTCTCTGGGTAATATCCACAAAGGTCACAACAGTTGTCAAAGATACTTCAGAATCCTGCAGGAAGAAAGTCCATGACAGGTCAGCACTTGGCACCCCTCCAATGTGACTGTTATGATCACTTCTGAAGAAAGACTAAAACCAATTATTCTAAACAAGATATACCATTTCCTCATATTCATCCTAGTTAGTCCTTCCCTATTCTGAGACACAAGGAAATGAATTTTTGGCAAGTCTATGATAAGAGAACTATGGATAGCTACACATACCAAAAGACTGACTTTGGCTTCCTCCATGGAGGATCTCCCCAATCATCAGAGAAGTCAGATGGCAAAAGCTACTGCTACATGCTAAGCAGCTCTGTTACCAGGGCCCAGAGGCTCCAGGTTTGGAACACACTAGTGAAATAGTACTGGCAACTCTGTTCCTTTTTCAACAGTAGGAGGAAATGTGGAAATTCATTAAGAAAGCAAAGAACTTAGTAATGCAGATTTTAAAAAATTAGATTCACAGAATCTCAGGGTTAGAAAGAACTGCATGAAGACCCACCAATTCAAGTCAAATAAAACAGATGCTCCTGGGAGAGGGGGAGCCTTCTTAAATGTACTCAAGTATCATATGTAGCAGACACAGCCTTTGGTAGATGCAGTTTAGCTAAAGTGAATTCCCTTTGTTCTGACCGTGCTTACTAAGAAGCCTTCTGACTATAATTTGGTAGTAAATAACTACCTTTTTGACCCAGAAATGAAGATTTTTCTCCATTCACATTCCTTCACTCTGAGGCCATATTATCTGCCATGGTCTTTGACAACAGTAAATACTAGACTCTGGTACTTTTGCCTGGAATAATCCACTGAGGTTTAAAAAAAAAAAGGGGTATAATACCTAGTATGACAATCTTACATGTCATATTAACTGCTTGGATTCTTTTTTTGAATAGTAATGGTCATGATGGACTTAGCATAAGACTAATGTAACTTCAGAAACTGAAAGAATCATACAATCCAAGGACAGTTAGCTTAGGCTGAAACTGCCAGAGAAGTCTTGATTCCTGCCAGGCAGGGAAAGCTGGGGGAGAATAACCAGACAAAGAAAATGGGAATTATTACTTAAGTAATAAGCATAGGTAGAAAAAGAAGAATATAGGTGGCCCTTCAAACTCAAAATCGGAATGTCTAGAGCTCTGACATAGGCCTGTACTCAGAACTGACCTCTAACATGGCCCTGTACGAACCTGTGCACATATACAGAAAGCTATGGTGATAGCCAATGGCTGGGAAAGCACACGTGACAGAAAGCTGTTTGAATTTTTTTTTCAGATTCACCCAGGATATAGGCTCATCAAGATTTACTACTAGACTTGAGTTTAAGATGGCAATGTAAAGACATGTCTTCTCCCTCTAGATCTCAAAACCGTTTTATTTCAGTTAGAAACAGATACAAAACTTCCATCTTCATTGAAATGGAGATATGTCACATTATGGGAATACAGAAAGCAGAGAGAAAGAAGGCCAAACCTGAAAGTCTTCAGAGATTAAAAACAAGGGGACCTCGCAAGTTCCTTGAAAGACAGTAACAGGAGACAACAGGGAGGCAGGGACAGGAAATGATTATTAGATGACATCACCTAAGGCTGGACAATTTAAACCAGAGAAAATTCTGGGTTTAGGGAAATTGGGCACACAATTAATTATGGAATTAATTATGGACATTACTCTATATAGTGAAATCCCTTCCCTCATCTATCTCCAGTCTAGTTCTTTCCCTCATCTAGCTGACAGACATTCTCCCCATACCCTTCAATCAGGAGTGTCATCTTCTGGAGAAAATGAACAGTTGCAGCAAAAAGACACAAAGATGCTGACATCTGGCAGTTGCACAATTCCAAAAGCAACTTCAGGTAACTGCCTGACAATGAAGGCCACAAGTCATCAAGGCTCACTCGTGATCACAGAGCTTTCAATATGCTGCAAAGCTGACTCTCATTATCAAAAGCTGAGACATAGAGAGAAGCTTCACACATTAAAAACTACCAAATGAACAGAACAATGCAGATAAGATAGAATAAAATATGAAAGGTAGTTAATATCTTAAAAAAGTATAAGAAAAGGATATCATGAAAAAGAAAGAGTAAGAAAGAGCTCTCAGATATTAAAAACATGCTAGCCAAGATGAATTCAATAAAGGTTAAAAACAAACTTCAGGAATTGTTCTAGTAAACAAAAATATAAAAAGTAGATAATATAAAAGAAAAAGAGAATCAATCTAGTGACCTTGTAACAGATTCATGAGAATTCCAAAAAGAACAATGAAAACAGTGGGAAGGAAATGATTATATGTAATAATAATTGAAATTTTTCAGAACTCAGTTTCCAGAATAAAACCCCCCTGTAAATTGTTCAGTGCAATGAATGAAGATAAAACTTACCCAAGGAATAATACTGTGGAAGCTTTAAAGTACTAGGAATAAAAAGATCTTAAAATGGCTTCTGAGGCCCTCCCTGGTGGCGCAGCGGGTTAAAGCACAGCACTAAGAAGCTAAAGCCACTTCTGCATGAGTTTGACCCCCGCCTGCCCCGGAGGTGACCACATGGCATGGCAGACCCTGACCCGCCTGCTGCTCCCCTCAGCAGTGTACTTAGTCGATCTGACTGTTCTGCACCCCACTCTGTCTCTGGTGAAGCCTCTCAC